TTACCCGTAAGTTGGAGCGACTGATACCCATAAGTCCATGGCCAGGTCGATGTGCTGCATCAGGAAACACAAAAAAAGTATGAATTATTCATTTAATAAACACAAAGTGACGTATACATAAAAAACACAAAATGAATAGTTCACTTACATCGTTGGCGAGCCAAGCTTCCGAAGTGGTGATATCGTGGAACCACTTGTGAGCGTCCAAGACCGTCATTTGACCTATCATGTGGCTAACTCTGAAAAAATAGGGAAATGTTAAAATAAACATAGACGAGTTAGTGTACAGTGCTTTATTAAAATCATACAATACTTACCTGGAGATAATTTTCCTCCACTCCGTCTCGAACGCTTTTCACTTGGCGTTGTCCATCTCTAAATAAGTTCGGGTGCGTCCCATCGATGAACATCCTCCTCTTGGCCTCAATCGTGAAGGGGGAAATAACATACTGTGACGACACTCTCAACCTCTTACCAACCACCTGCTCCGTCTCATCAACAGCATGTCTCTTACCCTCAATCACGACGGGCGTCCTCTCGACCTCTGGGGCCACCTCCTCCGTCGCCACCTTTCCGTCCCTCCCATCTGGGCCACCCTCTCCGTCGTCCCCTCTCCCATCCCCATCGGGGCCACCTCCTCCCCTCCATAGACAACCGCAATGATTCTAATGTCTCATCATGCCAAAAATGTGGGCGACCCCCCTCTCCATCACCATTTCTGCCACCCTCTCGATCATCATCTTCGCCATCCCCTCTGTCCTCCCATCGCCTACCGTCTATCGTATCTTGAAGGTCGACAACACAAGACCGTAGCATTCCAACATCATGGGATAGATCGTCAACCTTCCATGTCAACTCTCGTCCCATATCGTCGACCCTCCCCGTCAGATGGTCGACCTTTCCTGTCAAATCTACGACCCTCCCTGTTAACTCTCATCCTAGATCATCGACCCTCTCCATCAACTATCGTTGTAGCGCGCCGACCTCCTCCACTATAAATTCAGTCAGACGGGCATACAAATTATCACTGTGTGCTGGAGATACACAAGGGAGGTGTCTGGAAGAGGGAGAATGAGATACCCTCGACGGTGGCGATGCCCTCGACGGAGGTGATGCCAATGGCGGCGACGATACTCTCGACGGAGATGACGCTAATGGTGGTGACGATACCTTCGATGGAGGTGATCGTCGATCAGCTGGACCGACCTCCTGCATAAATAACATTAAAAATTATTCAATAAATTTACATGTCGATGATATTCAATAAATTATATTTAATTCACATACCTAATCTCGTTCCAGGCTCGGATCAGACATCTCCTCATCTTGGGTGTGCGGAACGCCTAAATCCCGCACAAGACCCCGAGCCTCCTCTTTTATCGACGGCGTCAACTCAGGTATGACTTCAAGCTGATATATTAACATTTCAACTAGTTAACAATCATGTAAACAGATTTTAAACTACATACAATATAAATCACAAAAGCATAATATTTACCTGAGGATCGTCGAGGAGGGCCGATGACTATTTCCCAGTGGGACATCCGTCTGCTTGCGATGATCTCCAATGATGTATCCGAGGGCATCGTATCTCCCTTCGCTTCGCAAAGCGGCCCCCCAATACATGGACTATCTCATACACCCAAATTTGCAACACATGCACTTATTATGCATAAATGTAATATACTAAAACTTTAACTTTATTTATATTAAACATTTATCTGCATCGCTAAGGGCAATCCATATGTATCGTATTTACGCATTGATCCTCTGGGCCTCGAGTGTGATCTGGTGAAGATATGTACGGTGTCTTCGTAGTATCTCCGACCCCAATGGATAGTTTTTGAATGCATCGATGTCGTCAACAACTTGCAAATGAAAAATGTCGATGACAATCTTCTTGTGATGACACCTCATCACACTCTTGAGGATGTAGACCAGCCCAAGTTTCAATCTATCTAGTATCTGGTCACACCCCCTGATCGCGACCATCAACTCGGGTAGATGCACCGACCCATGTCCCTGGAAGTACGTCTCATACAGCCTATTGCTTCTCTCAATGGCTGCATCGTCGCCCGTAATCCTCAGTCCAGTGATTAAGCTAAACTCATATATCGAGAAACTGATGAGCTTGCCTCCGAGGTCAAAATGGAGGGAATCGCCGTCAACTGGCCTCAGAAGTCGACATAGAAGTGCATCGATGATCTGTCCTGAAAACTGCACCTCTCGCATCTGGTACAGTGGCCACAAGAAGGACTGTCGTAGCATATCTTCGTGATGATCATCGAGCCGCTTTAACACAGCAGGAAAACTCTCAAAGCTACTGTTCCAAGTAGCTTTTCCCGCCATCCGTCTTAACTCCCCATCTAAATGATACTCCATCCTGCAAAAATTTAAATGTTAGAACATTGAACAAGAGATAATAAAATAACGCATAATCTAAAAAAATCAATGGGAACCAAATTCTTGACGCTAATAACAAAATAAATTCAATACAAATGTAAAAAAATAATTAATTAAATTAAAATACAAATTAATGAGATTTTCAGCAAAAGAAAATTATTAATATTTAAATAATACAAAAAGTTAAAAATTAAATATATTTTCAAAAAAAATTAAAGAATATAAATATTATTTAAATTTTTTTAAAGGGATGTTCTGGCCTCTAGAACCCCACCAAGAAATGAACAGTAGGAAGGTCACTTGCTAAGGACATTTAAAGAATATAAAAATTAAATAAATAAATAACATATTTATTATTTAATCAAATGAAAATTATAAATAAAATTAATCTTATATATTACATTTGAAAAATATATTTACAAAAAAAATAAATTTAAAATTAAATAAATAACTTAGAAAATAAATTGTTACTTTCAGATAGTATTCAATTATTAAATTCTATAAATGAATAAATAAAGTAATTATTAATAAATTAATTATAAAATATATTTAAAAAAATTTAAAAATTAAATATATATATTTTTAAAAAAATTAAACTGTTAACAGTCTGACTGTTAACAGTCGGCCCAATTCATAAAAAGAAATATGAAATTTAAAAATTAAATAATTATTCAAAATTACAATGATAAGAATTAATGAAATTCGATTAACGAAAAGAATATTATTATAAAAAAAACTATTAATAAAAATAAAAATGAAATTTAAAATTAAATAATTATTCAAAATTACAATGACAAGAATTAATGAAATTCGATTAACGAAAAGAATATTATTTATAAAAATCTATTAATAAAACTAAATATGAAATTTTAAATTAAAATAATTATTAAATATTACAATTATAAAAATTAATTAAATTCGAGAATGAAAAATTATTATTTATCAAAAATGAGGAAATAAAAATAAATATTCAAATTAAAATTTAAATTAAATATCACATTTAAATTTTACAAGTAAATAAATTATTATTTATTAAAAACTAATAATTAAAATTATTTAAAATGAAATTCTTAAATATATGTAAGAAAAAAATAAAGGCAACAGGCCATCTGTTACTTAACAGTCAATGGGCCGATTAAACAGTCAGCCCATAATGGGCCGACCGTTAATCAGCCCAAATTAGAAAAAATTGTTGTTGGGCTGATTGTTCCGCTTAATAGTCAATGGGCTAACTAAACAGTCGGCCCACTTAACAGTCATGGGCTAACTGTGACAGTCGGACACCAGCTGCACCCAACTATTAACAGCCCAAAATGCCGACTGCGTTTTTTTCCTACTTTTCTCACCGAAAAATCTCCATTTTCGGCAGAGAAAAGCTTGCAAATCTCAAAATCCACCTATTATTCTCCAATTTAAAACCATATTCATACTTCTACACCTACATAACGAATATTACATTCCAAAAACCTCCACAAATTCAATATTCACACACAATATGAAAATCTAAACATTAATTTAATTAATTAACAACTTGAAACTTACCTTAACAAGAAGAAGATTGTCGGAGATGAACTGAAAACATCTATCGACTGGAAATCGACCGTAGCTTTTCCTTGGTTTTGGCAGACTGTAAGCAAATGGGAAAGTGACCGTCTGAGGGCATTTTGGGATTTTGACCTTTAAAATCAAATTTCATTTTTTTTCTCTAAAAACTGGTCAAAAATTACTTTGGAAATACATATGAGTTATTGGGTCATTTTCAATGATTTCCTCGCTCAAATCGTCGAATCCACATATCGTCGAAAAACACTCATTTACCTGTACACATCCCACCCAACCACGATCCCTAACTCCACAAGATTTCGTCGAAATAAGCACCCAAAACCCAACTCATGAACTCAAAAATTGTTGGTAACTCCTCCTCCGATCACACCCACCATCGCGGACAATCATCGGTCGACTTCCACAATCCAGCGCATCTAATCTGATTATGGTATTTCAAAAAAAAAAAAAAAAAAAAAAGGACAAGCAATCAATGCACTTTTTTACATCTCTCATTTTCTTCTTCATCTTAGACCATCATTTTTTTTTTTGAAATTGGCGTCTGTTTCAGATTTGAGCTTCTGTGGTGTTGATGCTTGGTGGCGAGATAGGGAAAAGTAATTATGGGGGTGTAAATAGGAGCTGAGATGGGGAATAGATGATGGTGATTTTTTGTGGTTTTGGTGTGTCGATTCTATGGTGGTGGTGCTAAGGTTTAGGTGGGGTCTTTGTTGGTGGTTGTGGTGATGGTAGGGAGGTTGTGCTAATGGTGGTGTCGACGACGGGGAGGCTATGCAAGAGGAGGTGGCATGCTAACGGTTTATTTTTTTAGTTTATTTTGTTTTATTCCATCTCTTTTTTAAAATTATTTTATTTTATGTATAAATAACAAAATTATCATCATACCCATTTCAATTTGGTCAAAATTAGTTAATGTCCATTCTTGTTAGTCAGAACAAAGCTATTTGTACCTGTTTCTTTACATGTTGGGTGACACGTTGAGGTGGAAAGTAGCTGAATCAATTCGAAATCTCTACACTTTTGGGCCGGGTATGAAAAATAAATCGGGTCACTCAAATTCAAGCCAAAATAACCCAAAAGCATTCTCGTTGCAGACCTGAAGCCGCGGGAAAAACTCTCTCACTTGTGCCCACTTCCTACTGTACACGTCGGCGGCTCTCCAACGTCATCTTCATTCCAACGACGGGTTCATTTTGGAAGCAAAGAAGAAGCCAAAATCTTTTTTGGTTTGAAGAGATGTCAGACAAAGTTATTTCCCTTCCTCATTTTCCCCAAATCTTGTCTGATTCTCTTCTAATACAGAGTGCTCAGTATGTAACCTGAAATGTGATTCTTGCATACTAGTTTAAAATATTTCATTTTGTGTGGGCTTTTAAATGGAAAGATAAAGACAAAATCTAAGTAATGTGGCTTGTTTATTAACAAACAATTGGGAAAAATGAGAATATATGTTCATTTTAATTTAACTGCTCACAGAATATTCACATTTTAGATTTACAGAATATTTTTGTCCAAAACTTGTTGACCAATTTTAGAATTCACGTTTAAATCACCTATTTTTTTTCCTACTATTAGATTTGAGATGAATTAACATTGAGGTTCATATATGTAAAAGGGAAAAATTATATGCTGATAATTTTGTTACCTCATATTATTATTAATATTATTATTAAATTTGTACCCTTGATTTGTTATCGCAGGGAAAGGAATTTCGAAAGAGGTGGATGACAATAAGTTGTTAGAAACGGATAATGACAAGATTTTGGAAAGTGCGGACTTAGCTGATGATGGAATTGTAGGAGTAGATGGTGTGATTGTGCCTAAGGTCGGTGATGCTACCAAAAATCGTACCTGTAGATTTCCCGAGCTTGATGACTGATTATGAGCACGAGCGTGATCTTTCGATACCTGAGACAAAGGCAACGAGGTGTGTTCTCGTCGCCCCTCCGATGCTTAAGTCAGAAAGGGAAATATATGCGTGAGGCTATGTGCTGAAGAACAATGTAAAACGTACCTGAATAATGGCCCAAGGTTCTGCTTTTATAGGAGTAGGTAGTGTACTCCTAGTAGGATTGTGTTGGTTGGATGTTTTAATCCAAGGGAATTTCTATTATAAAGAGTGTCCTACTTGTGATAGAATTGTTTGACAAGTGGTGTCAGGTTTGGTGTAGAATCCTTGGGTGCTTAGGTTTGTTAGTTAGGCACCTAGGTCTAGGAGGCATGTTGGTGGTGTATGTCTCGAGGACTATTCTCGAGGTTATTGAGAGAATGTAAATGTGTCCTCGAGGTATCTCGAGGACTATGATATCTCGAGGACTTAGGATGACCCCGAGGACCATAGAAGAGAAATGAGGTAGGAGTATATATTGAGTCCTCGGGGATATACTCCTTGGGGTATATCAATATTGGCATAGTCACTGGCCCCCGTGCACTCGTCCTAGAGAACGAGCTCTTAGGATGGGGTGCACATGGGTTATGTCATTTCTCGAACCTTCGTCGAGAAGTGATGGCTGATGATACAGGTTGAGATATGACCGTTGCAGAGAGTGGCTTGGATCTGTGACACGTGTCTTCGTGGACGGTCGTAGATAGCGACCTTTGGCCTCCCATCGTTTTCACCTATAAATACTATTGTTCTCACCTTCATTTTTCACTTTTACCCACTGTAAATCAGAGTTCTGCGAGGTCGTGCTCGAGAAAAACACTTTGGGAACTTCTCAAGTCGTCGGGAACTCCAGGTAAGGCTCGAGACTTTAAGTTATTCATAAGCTAGGTCTTAAGTTTGTTAAGTGATGTCGAGTAGTGAGGGTCGAGAATCTTCTAGCAGTTCTAGTAGTAGTGAGGACGTAGGGACCTCGATAATACCGACGGCTATTCCCCTAGAGGCTACTCCCGAGGCCCAAGTTAATATGGTTTTTGAGTATCCCGACGAGCCCTGCAGGCTTAAAGAGCACACAGTCATAGCTGCAGCTAGGGAACACGGTTTAATGCCTAACTGCGATGTTAGATTCCCAGACCCCGAGGATAGGATTATTCGAGCATGACGAGGGGAGTTCGTTATTTTTAGGGAGACCCTTAAGGCTGGCTTTAGGTGGCCCCTTCACCCCTTCTTTATTGCTTTATTAGTCGAGCACTCCATGTGCCCGGGGCAATTAGTGCCCAACGCCTGGAGGATGCTCGTTTACTTTTTTATAGCATGTAGATACTTAGGTATCGAGCCCAACGTTAGCCTCAGCAAGTTAGTGTTCGAGCTTAAGAAGCATCCTCGATACACTTGTTTTGGCTATCTCTCGACGATTGGGGGCTTTAAAGTCCCGAGGATGGCGAGCTCTTTAAAGGGGTGGAGGGCGGGGTGGTTTTATGTTGTAGCCCAAGAACCCAATCTTCCTTTCTGGCCTGATTGGGGAATCCCCGACGCCGAGAAGTTCTGTGAGGGCCAGGTGTATCCGGATGTTTTGGAAGAGCATAGGAGGATGCTGGTCGGGCTCAGCCCCCTTTTCTCGACGATGAAGGAGATTGGGGAAGAGGTTTTAGACCTGGCAGATATTAGAGGCGTCGAGGGTAGGGATGTTCCTTTATTGTTATTTTTTGAAAGATACCCTGACCTTGTGCTCGTTCTAAAATGTTTGTAAATATTTGCAGGTATGTCTTTTGATCCTCGGGCTCTCCGGAACTTTGTCAGCACAAGGGGAGGCGCTCCTCCACAGGGGCAGCCCTCGAGGAAGAAAAGCAAGAAGAGGCCTCGAGGGGCTCCTGAGGGTGTGAGGGGGCCTGGCGAAACTTCTCGAGCACATCCAGAAGTCTCTACCCCTCTGCAACCGAATCTCAGATCTCCGACTCCTCGGGTCGTCACTCCTCGGCCTCCTTCTGAAGTGGTTGACCTTGAGGATGAGCCGTCTCTCACCGGGGACTTTGGGACTTGCCACCTCGCTCCTGAGCTCGTAAACAAATACAAAGAGGAGGTCAAGCTCGAGGATGGGATGAAGGTCCTCGAGGGTCTTACAGTGAAGGTAATCTTCGAACCTTTGATTTTAACCTCCAGTTTATTGGTCGAGCTTAACACTTGACATTTTCTTCATTTTTTCCAGATGTTGAGTATAGCTCGAGGACTCTCTCTGCAAGGGCTCGAGGAGGCCAAGAGGGCAGCTGGGGTCGAGACGTCCATGGCCTCTAAGGACAGCAGGATTCAAGACCTCGAGGCCCAGGTCGAGGTTTTATTGAAGGAGCGTGATGACGCGAGGAGGGAGGCTGCAAAGGCCGGGGATGACTTGGTTGCAGCAAAGGATGAGGTCGAGGGGGCGAGGCTCGAGCTCATCCAGAAGTCAGAGGATTTCGGGCGCGAGCTCGAGGCTGTCAGGGAGAGGACTTGGGAGGAGTTTAAAACCTCCGAGGACTGCGACAAGATAAAAGGGGAGTATGCGTCGGGGGCGTACTTCCATGCTCTGAAAGAAGCCCGGGCCTTCCTCAGGCAGAAGTTGCCCGACGTCACTCCAGACGACCTGAAGACGGTGCCTTCCATTGCTGATACATTGGAGCTCTCGGGTTCGGAAGATGGAGGAGGATCGGGTGGAGATGATGAGGAAGGTCTTGAGGACGACGTTGAGATCGACATTAGCAACCTCGACCCTCCTCTTGGCCACATTGGATGACATCCCCACCCCGATCCTTTGTAATTTTTTAATTTTGACAATGTAAATTGATCGAGGATTATGTATAAACTTTAGTTAATTTATTCGAACTATTTATCTCGACCCCTTGGACTTCATACAATCGAGCAATCAAATTCGAAACTTACTGCTCACGCGATATTGAAGTGTTTACTCGAGGATTCCACAACTCGAGCGTATTTAAGAGATTAAAAGGTGAGACGTACATTCTTGAGCACAAAAATATGATGATGGGACATTCTCGAGGACAGTAAACCTCGAGAACAATTAGTCTTAAAAAATGAGGCCATTCTCGAGGACCGTAGTCCCGAGCACAATCAAATTTTAAAAATTGAGTGACATTCTTGAGGACTGTAACCCCGAGCAAAACCAAACTTTAAAAATTGAGTGATATTCTCGAGGACTGTAACCCCGACCATTACCAAACTTTAAAAATTGAGTGACATTCTCGAGGACTGTAATCCTCGAGCACAACTAAACTTTAAATTGTGACATTCTCGAGGACTGAAATCCTCGAGCACACCAAACTTTAAATTGTGACGTTCTCGAGGACTGAAATCCTCGAGCACACCAAACTTTAAATTGTGACGTTCTCGAGGACTGAAATCCTCGAGCACACCAAACTTTAAATTGTGACGTTCTCGAGGACTGAAATCCTCGAGCACACCAAACTTTAAATTGTGACGTTCTCGAGGACTGAAATCCTCGAGCACACTAAACTTTAAATTGTGACATTCTCGAGGACTGAAATCCTCGAGCACACTAAACTTTAAATTGTGACATTCTCGAGGACTGTAATCCTCGAGCACAACTAAACCTTAAAAGTTGGGTTGTGATTTCCTCGAGGACCGTGATCGTCGAGCACACTAACTTTAAAGGGTTGTAATGTGAGATTCTCAAGGGTGTCCAAAATAATGTGGGATTTTTGTATGTCCCTGGGCGATACCTTAATGGTTTACACTTGAGTACATGATCAAGGCCTTTTGTGCTTGCGTGGGGCAAGGCTTTGGTGCTTGCTTGAGGCAAGGCTTTTTAATGTGCTTGCGTGGGGCAAGGCTTTTTAATGTGCTTGCCAGGGGCAAGGCTTTTTGATGTGCTTGCCAGGGGCAAGGCTTTTTGAGTGCTTGCCTGGGGCAAGGCTTTTTAATGTGCTTGCCTGGGGCAAGGCTTTTTGAGTGCTTGCCAGGGGCAAGGCTTTTTGAGTGCTTGCCTGGGGCTTGCCTGGGGCAAGGCTTTTTGAGTGCTTGCCTGAGGCAAGGCCTTTTATTGGCTTGTCAAAGACAAGGCTTGAAGGGGCTTGCTTGAGGGCAAGGCTTAAATTGGCTTGTCAAAGACAAGGCTTGAAGTGGCTTGCTTGAGGGCAAGGCTTAAATTGGCTTGTCAAAGACAATGCTTGGAGGGGCTGTTATACCCGATGTTTTGGATTTATTAATTGTTTGGACTGGACTTGGATTTATATTGCATCCAAGCTGCTTACGTACCCAAACGGGATCAAGTCGAACGTAGTTCATTACAAAAGAGAACGAAAAACATGCATGGGCACGCAGGCCCGCTAAACTAGAAAAAGAAAATCTCCTCAAAGGCGTCGGGAATTTTACTTGTAATATATTTTCAGATTGTCAGCATTCCAGGGCCTCGGAAGAGGCCTACCCGAAGTGTCTCTTAGGCTGTATGCTCCTTTGCGAACCTGCCGTATGACCTCAAAGGGCCCTTCCCAGACGGGCCCGAGCTTCCCTGGGGGGTGGCCTGCTGCTTCGGCCCTCCTCAAGACCAAATCGCCAGCTCTGAACCTCCGAGCCTTGACTTTGCGATTAAAATGTTTTGCTGTCTTTACTTGGTAAGAGGCCACTTTTATAGCGGCTTGCTCCCGTACTTCTTCCAAGAGATCAAGATGTTCAATTGTATGCTCCGAGGTTTCTGGCACGAGCCTCCTATGGCATGGCAGTCTAATTTTCACTGGGACCATTGCTTCAACGCCATAGGCTAACATAAAAGAGGTTTCTCCTATGGTTGTCCTATGAGTTGTTCTGTAAGTCCAAAGTATAGAAGGCAGCTCGTCGGACCAACAACCCCTAGCATCCCTTATTCTTGTTCGGAGGTCTTGCAATATGATTCGATTTGTTACCTCGGCCAG